AGTGAAAAGGTGAAAATTCCCACAATGTGACAGAGAGCGTGCAAGTGTTGCGCAGCCAATCGAAGGACGCGCGTTTCTGTGTTAGTAGGGATCTATGTTGTGGTGTATTAGCATGAATAAAAACCATTGAAAACGAGCTATTTCGTCACTCTGCCGTTTTCTTTGAAATGTGTTCTGTGGGACTATTTCAAAAATTAAACGAAAAGTTAATTGAAAGAGGTTAAACCCAGAACAAAAAGTGAGCAGACGCACGAGCACCGCTGTTTACAACACAAACACATCACTCTGTCTCTAACCATTATGTTGATTACGAGCTAGTCCGATTCAGGATGCCTAATGCGACCCCTAAAANTCAGTGTTTTCACACTCTCCTGCCAGATGTAATGTAGACAACCACCTTCGGCCCTGTATCAAGTACTGTAATCATTACATGTCTAAGAATTTCGATGATTTTCCTAGCATACACCTCAAACAGTTTAATCTGAGCAGGCCAAGCGCTTGCCTCAGGGCCTAACAACGACTATCTAAAACTGGGCGCTGTTTATTTGCTTGCCGCATTAGACTCGTGCAATGCGATGGTGATAGCATCAGAACACAATGCGGTTCGATGAGTCGAAGGTCGCTTCTCGATCGAGTAGGAGTGAACTGGTTACTCTACAGAGAGAATTTCTGGGCAACAGCAGGTGGAGGTTGAAAACAGAGCCAATGCTTTTTCTAAAACCAGTGCAATACTCACATATGAACCGTTCGTGTGCAGCAAACAGTCGACGAAGAACGATATCAGCAAGATGCTTTGAGACTATTTCCATTGGGCTTATTCCTTTACAGTTTTCCCTAGATATCTATCTCTATTTCGTCAATCGCCAGACCGACGCATTTTTGTGTGATGAACAATAAACGGGGTGAACCCCATAGTCGCGTAAATCTGCCGTTTATTAAGTGAAACCGGTAATATTAGCCCCGGGACTCGGAGTGTCCAACCACATAAGGCTCCACCAGGTTAGGCGTAATATTGAACAAGACGACGGCCAAGCTGCCTGCCACCAAAGAGGGCAAGATTCTTACCTCAGACCATAGGGCTCAAAGCACGCCTGTGACAGCGACTAAACCACTGCGTCACCACCACCCCTGTATATTAAAGATGCACTTTGGTACCAAAATCGTTGTTTGCCACTAAGGTTGCCATTGATGAAGTTTTTCCTCTATTTGTTCAGATAATCCAAATAACCGAATTCGATCCCGTCAACTTCCGAATCAAATCCATGGGGTACGTTTATATTTTGTTTGTTTGTAACAAGCACTGTTTTATTCATATTATCTCTGCATTTTAGTTGGGGAGAACCTTTCGATTTGAAAAAGCATCCTCAGGTAATTTGCCTCTCGTTTTGTTTTGTCATGAATTTCACGCCATGTACAGGGTACTGAGGTCAAGGCTATCACCTACTCGAACATGCAAATCCATGAGAAAAATGGAAGACACGAATTGTTTGTCATTATTGACATTTAATGCTGCATGACAGTTTTTTTTTCGACGGAATTCGCGATTCATTCGGAGACAAGCGCTTGCTTCCCAAATGCACTGTGATCAAATATCACCCTTTATCGTGTTTCGAAAATTTTGTCGAATTTTTCTGTACATATCATTTGTACTAATGCGATTTGGGTAACAAGATACATTGGTCTTTTGGATAAACAAAATTATCTTCATCACAGGCAGAGACTGCGTAAACCATCGTCTCCCCCTACTTTGATCTTATTCATCATTATACGACAATTTACTGCCGATCTGTAAGTGTGTTCGATCGATTTCATTATGATCTAGAGAGATTCTCGAGAAAAGAAATACTCATGAGGTCTTTAGCACTGTTCCTCTTTGTTATTTCAGCTGGCACTTCGAATTTTTGCACATTTACTTGTAACGTGAAAAGCAGCAGTGTTTGTTCCAGTACAAACTGAAAAAGATCTGACATTTGGGTGTGGAAAGGATGAAAGTACAAGTGTTGGTGATTGTCTGGCGAAGTACTACAAAATCAACTTTATATATAAATTTCAAAGGGATCGGTGTTATTGTGTGGAAATGTGTGCATGGGCAGGGGGAAGGGGTGGGTTAATGAACCAAGGGGAGATGGAAACTTGGATAGTGCGCTTCTGGGCACATAATCCGGAGGTCAAATGTTTAATCCATATGGCTTCGGCTATGGCTAACGTACGCATTCTAACATATTTAGCCATATTTAAAACTTGACGTATAATGTGGAATGCTTCTCTTGAGTTAGCCCGATGACCAGTGTCTACCAAATGGGTGGGAATTGCACTCATGATGGATCCCAAACCACCTTGACTTAGCCAGCGCGGATGGTGTTCTTTCATGCGGATAGATAACTACCGTACCCTGCGACCGACATAGAGTACGTCGCAAAAGCACCTGAACGAGTAAACAATCATTGAAGCAGTCAACATCGGTTATCAGTGGCGAATCTTTGAAAGAGAAACGTATGTACGAGGCGTTGAATGTGGCTTTTGCCACTCCATTCAGCCGTCTTATGAGGGTTGCAATGATAACTTCGCCGTTAAAAGGAAGACTAACGAAAATTTCCTTCTTTTTCACCCTATCAATGTGTATTTTCGGTAATTGTTCCATAATAATTAGTTGAGTGAAACGGTCTGGGTAGCCATTGCTTCTGAGCACCTTGGAGATAAACATAAGTTCATCCAATACTTAATGTGAGCGGATTCTCCGAGCTCTATAGATAAACATTTCATCAGGTTCCTCTTCAGCGTATTGGGTGCATGCTACGTACGCATTCGTCTATCAGTTCCCATTGCTTATC